CATTTGAGTCTGTCTTCAGCTCATTTTAACCCTATAATGCCAAATGTCTCATATTTGATACGGTTTCTGAAGTCTTTTGGATCTGAGACTTTTTGCATCATTCAGTGGTAAAAGCTTTGCTCAAACCCCTGTTGTACACATTCAGATATACCTGATAACAGCCAGTAGAAGACTACACCAAAATATATTTTTGACTTATTGCACGCTAATTTGATCAAAAATCATTTCTGTTTTTTTTCTTCCTATGTTGTTGAGGGGCCAAAGAAAGACTTCAAACTAAAAAAATTCCAATATTCTTTCTATTTTTCTTGGATCAGGCTTTAAAGGGTTAAGATTCAATAAGAACCAGGGGATTTTTCCTCCCGTTATAACTAAAACGTCACATCTCCTGAGGTACTTTCTCGATTCGTGTATCCAAAGTTGCTTAATAACTGGATCTCAAAGCACACATTTATGCTTTTAGGTATTCTTATTTTTCCCAATCACTAAATGGACCTAATAAAAGGATGAGCTTTGAAAGTACCACCCCAGAGACGAGTCTTTGGACCCATAAAGGTGCAGATGGGTGCTTTCCTTTCTGAGAGAACAGAAACTCAGACGTACATCAGAAAATGTGGATATCGGTTAAGTGAGGAGGAAAAAACTAAAACTGAGAAAAAACAAAAGCCACAAAGCGAAAGAGTCAAAGTGATGATTTAAATTGTGTCGAGGACTTTCCCCTGATTTCCTGACGGGTTTCCAGGGAAGTCCGACAGTTTGAGAGATGAGTAAAAGATGACATCAGGACTAAACGTCTGGGAAAAATAACACATCCCTCACACCTTTAATCATGAATCAGGTTAGTGATGGACAGGAAGGACCTGCTCATCCACCCACCAGACTACACTCATCTTTAAACCTTTGAACCCAAATCTTTTGAACTGTAACAGAGAAAAGGATAATCTGTGAGGACACACAGAGACTTTAACACAAGAGTTTAGGTCTAAAAGCAAAAAGACAATCAGTGATTTACATGGATTATGTGATAGCATACAATGCTAACGTGAGTAACTATAACGCCTAATTTTTACATTCTCCCAAATCCCATGTCTAAGGGGCCACAATTAGATCTCCCTCTTATAAAATACCCTCAAAATATAATTGTCATGTGTCTTAATAAAGCACAGTTGTTTCCCCAGGGTGGAGGTTCTCCTGTTTTGCTCCTGTTCTGTATCCTAACGATCCAAATCGTTAAAAAAAACTGCTCTCAGACTGGGGCTGGGCCATTAATCCAGTTTAAGGCTTTTAAGAAGTAGACAAGACGCGGAGCCAATCCAACAATCCTTACGAGCAACAATCGGGTTATTTTCTTTAGATATCCCCAGTTTGTTTGGTCTTCTGTTTTCATGCTTTTGTGTCTTCTGTGGCTCTCCAGGCTAAAACTGCAGCTTCCTGCAAAAGAGTGGAAACTGGATGCAGAGGAGCAGATTTTCTTGTGTGTTTGGGAGGAAAAAGAAGGGGAAGGGGGCTTAACTCCGATTGCGTTCTGTGTTTTTACAGCCGCAAAATACAAATTATAACACAAATTATCCGCGCAAATGATGCAGTTTGGATAATCCACCACACAAACATATGAAGCATGAACACATACAGCTTTATTTGAGCTTTCAGGGCTTTTCAGACTGTTTAAAACACATCTAACAACCAGTAACAGCAGTCAATGGAACCCCAAAGAAGAAAAAAGTTGGATTATAGTGGTTGAAATGAGGTTAAACCACCTAAATGAAAAAATGAGGTCAAGTTGGTTTGAGTTGTCGTTGATGCGATTTATTTATTTATTTATTCTTTTAACAAAAAAGGTGGTTTTCTGAATGATTAACAACAGCTTTGCATGCAAGAGGAAACCAAACATCGAACCGGATACTGAGCGGTAGGACGCGTTTTCACAACCTCTGCACCTCGTTCTGGTCGTTGAAGCACCTGCGTTCCACAAGGGTCCAAATAAATAAAAAACCTTCAAATTTATTTACATTTATTTACATGTGATCTCCGTGTTTCACACAAGATCGGGCAGCGGTCCCTCGGGCTTTTCACCAAACCTGGAGCTGAACTCTCCACATATCGTCCGATCATCTCAGGATCAAAAAGTGCAAAGAGAATCATTCAAAGTGGACGTTTCAAACGAACAAATTTGCTCACGTTTGGCCTCTTCTCTTTAATGACGTTTGATGCCCTTTAAAAAGCACAATTTTAAGGGATAAAATCAAATTCTTTGGTGGAGAAAGAGGTCCCAGTTTGTTGGAGTGCTTTTATCAAATCTTGAAGACAGAATAAGTCCGAAATATTTAATGTTTTGTCTTATTATCATTCGTTTTGCATTTCATGCCTTCATCAAACTCCAAAAAGTTGGGATTAAGGTATTTTCTCATGGAGAATAAGGCCTATAGGTGATTTTAATCATGATTTTGGAGGGGGAGAGCAGAGTCCATTTAATTTTTGAGGGGTAAACATGGGCGAATGAAACCCAGTTTGAGTAAGAAAATCTACCAAAGACTTCTTCTAGGGTGTAAAATGTCCTGAAACAGGTGTAGAAATCACTTCTCCGGGTTCTGCAAGGGGGTGATTTTAACGGCCGAGGTGGTGTTGGTTGTGATGGTGGTGGTGGTGTTGGTCCCCAGGCCGAAGTCGGCGCTCAGCAGCCTCCTCTGGAGGAACGGCGGGCAGAAGGCGGAGACGTAGGCGTCCTTGAACCCGGAGTGGCAGAAGCAGTAGACCAGCGGGTCCAGCAGGCAGTCGGTGTAGGAGAGCACCATCAGGCTGTCGTAAACCTGCACCGCCACCTTCTCCGCCTCCTCCCAGCCCTTCAGGCGCACGGCCAGGAGCGCCGCCCGGGCCACGGCGCACGGCAGGAAGCAGACGGAGAACACCACGACCACCGAGGTGACCACGAACACGGCCCGCCGCAGCTTGGTTTTATCTCCGATGGTCTTCCTCCTCAGGCGGGTCACGATGCGGCTGGTGCAGTACACCAGGACGAAGAAGGGGATGATGATCTGGGAGAAGAAGACCACCTGTAAAAGGGAACGAAAAGAAGGGGCTCCGTTAAAGCCGAAGTTGAGATTTACGGCCCCGTTTCGGTTCGATTCAATTCAGTTTTATTTATATGGCGCCACATCACAACAACAGTTGTCTCACAGTGCTTTCCAAAAAGAGCAGGTCAGACCCTATTCTGAAGTTAACTCATTGATTTCCAGCTATTTTCAGAACAGAGTCCCATACTGCCAGAGTTTTTGAGCATTTTGACTGATTTTTCAAGAGCCACAGAATAGTTTGTGCTATGACTATGTAAACACCGAACACACCAAAAGAAAGAGTAGACTCTCTTCTTTCATCAGGAAAAAATTTTTTGTTTCTACCTTATTCCGTTCTTCCTCGACTTGCGTCTCACCGGCGACATGTTCTCTCATAGCGAACCGTTACCTTTTTCTTATTTGCCTACAGTCTATGCTCATCT